ACTTAAGTCGAATTCACTTGTCTCCGAATTTACTTGTCATTAGGCAAAACCACTTATTTTAATATGATTCTATATATTTTCATTCACAGGAACATGATTTTGTGTGCTTTTAACGCTTTTCTAGTGGTATTACGATTCCAGTACTCGTGAATTCGAACAGACGTAAAGTCGAATAAATGACTTAAATTTGATTTTTCCTTATATATATTTGATAAATGACATATAATCGTGAACGACTTAATTGGAAACAATGTGGCCCGGGGTATACCTGTGCTCATTAATCAGATTTCATTGTCTATTCCATATGTTCTGGTTTGACTTATAATTCATTTGAAATTACTCAGGCAGTTTCAACTCAATGCATCTACAGTATTGTATTTGTCTACCTGTGCATAATTCAGTGACATTCTATCTGTATCTGTCTACCTCATTAACACATACTTTTACCTCCTAGGTCGTGCTATTATAAGAGCATATTTATTATTAGGCTTAAATACCGTTCATTGAGTTTCATATACATTGTTATGGTACTTGAATAGAGATATTCTTTGCCTAATTCATGCTGTCAATGTATTGTGCTAGTTTATTGCAGATAATATTAATACTAACAGTAACCTAATCTAAATAATAAATGTTTTATATGGTGCGATGAGATTAAAAGGTGATCATCACATATGCACATTTATCGATCGTTGTGTCAAATCATATCAGCGGAATCAAATAACGGAAACGAGTCACATGAATAATCAATCGAACAATAAAGCAATGGCAGAATAGCACAGCGGTTACAGTGATGAAATTAGATAATAATGACTGATAACAGTATTGGTTACATGGCGTTACGTTGAATAATTTAAGGTGGTGTAACGCTTTTGAGATTTTGCGATTTATTCTGAAGGTGAGTGAAACGAGAGGATTGGCAGACCACGGGTTTTGTTGCAGGACGGATTTGGATTTTGAGAGGAATGTGGCGTGGCGGAATCAAGTTGGATAGAGGAAGAACATTTGAGTGGATGACGATACAGGTATGCATAGCAGATAGACAGATTGGTGGATATCAGCCAGATAGAACTCTTCGTATTAATATTCTTCGCCCTCTTCGCCTGCATCCTCCAAGGAGTCTACACCAACCTGAAATTTAATCGGGATTATTTCTGGGTAAGAACTACCAGTCAGTATGGGATCTGGATTATACGATCAGAAAATCGGACGAAATATCAGTGAAAAATTGGTTTATTTATTCGAAATTTCGGTTACTTGACATGGAATCAGATCCAGTCGCAAATATATCGTTAAAAAACACGCGCCACGAACCTCTTCATAATCCTTTTCAAGAGCAGCCAAATCCTCCCTGGCCTCAGAGAACTCGCCCTCTTCCATGCCCTCGCCCACATACCAATGCACAAACGCTCTCTTCGCATACATCAAATCGAATTTATGATCCAATCGTGCCCATGCTTCTGCAATCGCTGTCGTGTTCGAGAGCATGCACACTGCGCGAGGAACCTGAAATTCACGATCATCTAGCAACTGACTCAGCGAACGATAGCACTAGTAAAGCTATTTAGAACTTATAAATGTGCATGAATATTGGTATAACTGCAAACCTTAGCCAGATCTCCACCAGGAACCACAGTAGGTGGTTGATAGTTGATGCCGACTTTGAATCCAGTGGGACACCAATCGACGAATTGTATGCTGCGCTTGGTTTTGATTGTTGCTATGGCTGCATTCACATCCTTCGGAACAACGTCACCTCGGAACAACAGACACACAGCCATATACTTGCCGTGACGGGGATCACACTGAATTGCTTGTTATTTCTTAGTAGGGCAACGTGCAAAATGAAAGAGCTGAATCTTGGGATGGAGTTTTTTACGTTCAGGTTTTATTCCGTCTCCCTTCGATCCTTTCGTTTTCCCGAAACCTCCCTCCTTCCCTATTTTATCTAAGCTCCAGGACGCACACTCTTTGCGTCCTCTACACCCTTGGACAGGCAAACGCTATTACGAGCATACCTTAACCATTTGATTGTTTGGTTCGAAGCACATATTAGTGATTTCAGCGACCGACAGCTGTTCATGATAAGCCTTTTCAGCTGAGATCACAGGTGCGAAAGTGGCCAGAGGGAAGTGGATACGCGGGTAGGGTACCAAATTAGTCTGAAATCAGTAGAAACGTTCATTATGTTCAATTCATACTTGTTCATAACTTATAAATCAAGTAAAAATGACCTGAAACTCAGTGAGGTCAACATTCAGTGCACCATCGAAACGTAGCGATGCAGTGATCGACGAGACAATCTGCCCGATCAGACGATTCAAATTAGTGTATGATGGTCTTTCAATATCAAGGTTCCTTTAATGAATAACTCTTGTTATAAGTAATACATAAGCATAACGTCAACAATAACAAGCGATCATGAATAATAAGAGACCTGCGGCAAATATCATAAATAGCCTCATTATCAACCATGAACGCACAATCGGAATGCTCGAGAGTGGTGTGCGTCGTCAAAATTGAGTTGTATGGCTCCACGACCGCAGTTGACACCTTAATTCGAGCGTATCAGTCAAATATAGGTGTCTAGTCAGAACAAATGCTTATGATTTACATTTGATCTTAATCA